AAGCAATTGAGCTGGCACCTCCTGCACAAAGTGTACAATAAGCACGTGCACATATACACCGGTGGTTCAACCACAGCGTCTGGTTCTGGCGGTGCGGTGTTGATTCCAGCTAGAGGAATCACTCTGCGAATCAAGCTGTCACACATCGCTACTTCTATGGCGGCAGAACTTGCGGGTTCGCGTCGCGCCCTAGAGTACATCAAATCCCAGAGATCGAGCAAATGAGCTGTGCTTTCCGACTCGAAACCAGCCCTACAGAGCATGCAGTCAGTCCTTCGACGAGGTTGCCATGAGCAGTTAACTTACGAGGTTGTCAAACTTCACCGCGTCACAGAAAGAGGCCACGAGGTCAATTTTCAGTATCTACTTGGCCATTGTGGGATTAGTGGCAATGATTCCGCAGACAACGCGGCTCGCACATCGCACCAAGGAGAGCACACCCTTCCGATTTCTTTGTCAAGGACAGACGCTGCAAAGCAACTTTGTCACCTGGCATGGCACGTAGTCTGTGTCTGCTAAAGCGGAACACCCCAAGCATAAGACGTACGAGACGCTACCAAATAAACCCTTGACTGGAACTTCGACCTCCATCTGGACTTCGTCGACGTGAAGCTTCGCTTCTTTAACACCTTTGGTTGGGGTTGCCTTCACAAAAGCATATCGCACCCTCATAAAATTGACCGACAATGCAGAATGCGACGTCTGCTGCACCGAAGAAGACATCGACCATCTGATGTGCCTTTGCCCTCGATTTGCCTCTGAAAGACTGAAGCTTTCGGACGCATTGCGGCAATAGAACGAACGGCCACTCTCTATGCGCATGCTACTGAAACACCGTGCTCGCCTTTCGTCGGCTGACAAAGCAGTCAAAGCCGTCTTGTGCTTTTTGAGGAACACAGGACTATGTGAACAACTTTAGCTTTTGTGTAGTGCGACCGCTGCATACGCGTGAGCCTATTGATTGACAAAACGTTTTTTCTCTCTTTCTCTTCTCTTTCCTCTCTATCTCTCATCTTCATTCCCCCTTCCCATTCACCCAGCGTAAGGTAGCAAACCGGGCATGTGCCTGGTTAACCTCCCTGCCTTCTCTCTTCTTGCTCTTGTCCTCGTCCTCCTCTTTGCTTTATGTTTGCTCACGGAAACACCACAGGTTAAAATTACTGCACTGTGTTTTCTGAAAAAAATTAGCTCTGAAACACCTCACGACGAATCTCCCTCGTATAAAGTTGTCATATATCTAATCGTAAGCACATGCATGTCCTCACATTACGGCTTTACAAAATTGTTGCAGTGCATGGAACTTCCGACTTTGCACTTGCAATACCAATTGAATTATTACTGCTGTCTTATATTTCTGCTGAATTTTTTCGCTGGCGCAAAAGCCGCTTTTGTGTCTTTTTATAAAATTATTGTAACAAGAGCAACCTTTTACGTCTTGCTACAAAACCCCTCATGGTCACAATTATACCTTGCTAGATTATGCCGTATTAGTTGAGTTGCAGCACACCTTCATTAAAATGTAACTTCAGTGGTCGCGGTAAACAGGAGAGGTCATTTGGGGACATCTTTAAACATTTAATGCATCAATTTTTGCGCGATTTTATCGACGTGGTGCAGCTGGAGTGTTGCTCACTTGCACTTGGCGAGATAGCGCACGGATTGTTGCTTAAAGCCATCAAGCAATTACTTTTTATCGATATGTTCATTAATAAACCTGAGCGGTTGGCTTTGCACAGGAGACCCGCACGTCTTTTACAACGCGGCATCGCGTAAGCGCTGTAGCAGACGCCCACGGAACTGAAAGCTGAGAGGCAGCCAATCATTGGCTATCATCGTATACTCTCGATGCTAGGCGCTTTGCGTGCTACCTTTATATTATCGGCACACACTTCTTTCTTGCCTTTCGTTTCATTGGCTATCGTGTGTGCTCCTCGCCCTCTTAAGTGGCGAGTAAATTGAATTCATGTCATTGCTATCGTATTCCCTCGAGATAAGTGAATTTTTGGCGCAGGAATTGCATAACCAAGAGAAATGTTTGTGAATTCGGACTACAATCTTGTTTGATTTGATTGGTTTGTGGGGTTTAACGCCTTAAAACCACCATATGATTATGAGAGACGCTGTAGTGGAGGGCTCCGGAAATTTCGACCACCTGGAGTTCTTTAACGTGCACTCAAATCTGAGCACACGGGCCTACAACATTTCTACCTTCATCGGAAATGCAGCTGCCGCAGCCGAGATTTGATACCGCGACCTGTGGGTCAGCAGCCGAGCTGATTAGTCGTGTTCGCCGCTGAAATTCACCATACAGGAATGTCGTCTTTTTATTGAAACATTATATTCCAGAACACGCATTGCAGAACTTGTAAACAACACGTTCTAAATTAGTCTGATTGATCCCTCTTGCGAGGTGGAATACTTGGAAGCTATTGCATAGATTATCTCACCGAGGTCCGAAAGCGAAGCCATAAAGATCACACCTTAACTATTTACGCGTGCGGAATGTAGGGAGACAATTTCGGAGAAACTGCCTTTGAAAATCAAGTTGGCCCCGCCAGTGGTGGTCTACTGGTACTCGGCTGCGGACCCGAAGGTCGTGGGATTAAATCCCGGCGGCGGCGGCTGCATTTCCGATGGAGGCGGAAATGTTGTAGGCCCGTGTGCTCAGATTTGGGTGCACGTTAAAGAACCGCAGGCTGGTCGAAATTTGCGGAGCATTCCACTACGGCGTCTCTCGTAATCATATGGTGGTTTTGGGACGTTAAACCCCACATATCAATCAATCAATAAAATCAAGTTGAATGCAGACGGCTTCGATTGTTCTCTTAATGCGACGCGCATTGCGTGTAACGCTAAGTTCTACACCATAAAACAAATATTTCGGCTGGCAACTATCTTGAGCGATGTGCTCCTAGTTAGGTTATGAAATTAAAAATTTGGTTATCTGAGTGAAGACCGCAGTCGTATTTGTACGTTTAATCAGAAAGTTCATATAATTGAGAATTTTTTATCGGTCCTCTTATATTCAAAAATGTGTCGCGGTGATACGCAGATGATTTCGGAACACTGAATTTGCCGCTGACCCTCGCCTGCACGTTCGAAAGGTCTATGAATGCCGCCCGCATATGCAGCTATCAATTTCCATGTGATGCAGGATACGTGAAGGTACAACAGTGTGTCGGTATCCGGGGGCAGGGAGAACGAAGGGATTGATCACGCGAACGAATTACACGAGAATGATGCGAGCAGCCGATCTTTCACTTATGGCGCATTATAGCGATATATAAAGCAATCAACTACAATGTCCTTGTTGGGCGTTTAAGAGGACAATAAAGCACCACCGCCGCTAGCGTTATAGTGTATGTAAGACCGCCAGCCAATGTCAAGTTCGTTGAGTCATATACATACACGGTGGGCCACTTCATCAATCCAGGCTATGGCCGTGACTAGGGCAGCTGTGGATGTCTTAGCGCGATAGTGTTAGAGCGTACCAGCAAAGAAAAGCCCAATTGTGCGATATTTAAAGGAAATCAAGGCATTATTTATTCATTTCCAAAAAAAAACTTCTTAAAATCGGATTATCCTAGATCTAGCCCAAACTGTAGACTTGTTTAACGGACAGCTTCGAATATTTTAATTGGCCTGGTATGTCCGTATACGTTGGCGATTTTATCATTCAGGGTAATTCCCTACACGACATTTCAGGTCATAGAACATTTTCGCCGGACTCACTTGAAATGGGGAATAAGTGATCTGCAGAAATTTGCAATCTTTTTAACATAAAGTAATTTTACTACAAACCCAATTGGGTGTCTTTTCGCCCCCGAACGAACAAACAGCTCCTGGCACTCTGTTCAATGCTTCTATGCTTTACTAGTGCTGCTCGCGAGTGTCCTAATAACGGTGCCTAAATAGCCTGCGTGAATGAGCATAGCATTTCATGTCAGCAGGTGAGCCGACGCACGCACTCGTCTCCATTGCACGCAATGAGAAAGCATTAACAGCTCCCTGCCACCACGTGAAAAAAAAAATAAACAGAGGCTGGCAGTCTCCTAGGCGTATAACATGTCGCTCCAGCTAGAGAAGGTGGTCATACAAGTCAGCCCAAAGGCATGTTTTTCGACACCGATGATGCGAACCAACTGTGCGGGATGAGTGAAGCTGTCCATGGGAATTACGAAGGATGTGCCACTGACACGCTAAGGAAATTACCTAAGTGAAGCGTTCCATAGTACCAAGGATCGGTTGAGCGATTGTAGACAACACGCTGTACATTACAAAGTACCAGCAGTCTACACATGATGGGCTTACATGTGGTGCCCATCGTTATTCTCAAACCACTGCATAACTGACTGGAGAGACAAATGCACTGAGGCTTGCGCTACGTACGCGATTCAAACTCTATAATAAGTGCAGGGTGCATAATGCGCGAGAGGCGAAATGGTATTAGCAAACATTCAGTTCTGTTTGCTTTATATTTCTTCAAATGCGCAGCCAACCCGTGTCCTGTGCCAGAAACTTGATTCTCTGGCGTGGCAACGTAGTGTGAATGCACTGCTGTCCTCTTCTATAAAACGAAGTCACAGCTATCAGCATTTTTCAGCCAAGAGAGGCTGCAATTGTTTCTTCTCGAATGTCTTTCCATAGTTCCATGAACTGGGCACCCCGGCCTCTTTCTCTGATCTTTGCCTCCATGCGGTGAAGTTGTTCTGGCGAGAAGTACGATTTCCAGTCGCCAGGCTTACCTTTCCGAACAAGGCGGTACTTGCTGTGGTCACCTTCATAAGCCGACTTGTCGGGCACCATGAATTCAGTTCTACGTGTTTTCCACGCGGGATCCGCACACTGAACAGTCCAGTACAAGCACGTTTTGCATGTACTCAGCCTGTGGTACCTTTCCAGAAGGGTCCGTAAGAGCTCCTCGTCCGCTTCCAAGCGCTTGCCGTAGTGGTCTCCAAGGAAATAAGCCAGTTCGAGTGCCACTTTGCGCGTGTCCTTCTTCAGATCTCGTAGGTCAAGAAAAGCAAGTTGGGTTCTTTCCTTAGAGCGTAACCGGAAGCCACATGGTCGAAATAGTCACCGTAGCCAAAGTCGCCGTGCAAGAAGGCGTCGAAGAATTCGTCGAAGGTGCCATTGCGGAATTTGAACATGCTGAGCGACGTTGCCATGTGGTAGAAGGAAACGCAGGTGTCCCAAGGGTTGCGGGCCATGTAAACGTACTTCGCTTCGGGGTTCATTGTGTCCTTGGTGAGAGGCTCGTGCGTGGTGAATAGCCTGATGGGCAGAGGCGACTCCCAGTCTTTGGTCTCCATTCGGCCGATGAAGCGAACGTAGCGTATGAATTCGGCGTGGTTCGGCACGGGCTCGCCTTCTTTTAGGATCAGTTCGATAATGTACATGACCCAGTGAGTGCCCGCCTTGGGATACGTGCACTGAATCAAGTCTCCTTTCTTCGCACGGAACTTAAGGCTCTCCCTGAAGAGCTCCGGCTCCAGGCCAGGGCATCGTCGCACACCGTCAATAATTTGGCAGTATGGCCGCCTAGGCGTCATGTCTGGGAAATGTGCTAATCACTTCAACCGAATCGTCTTCTCAGCTGCTGCAAGGAAAATAACGAAGGCCTTCTGAGGAACAGTAAGCGAATAAAATAAACACAGAACTACTGCGAAAAAAAACATCATAGATATTCAGCTTGAGAGCAATTTAGAATATTTGGTTTAATCGCGACAGGGCTCCCAGAAGCGTACGCTACGACGGCTAAGACGAACTTCGCGTGACGATTTCACATTGCAGCAAGCGACCAAGTTGTCACAAGCTACCGTCAAGACATCCAAACAGACCTTTGATAAGAAGGTTTACGACAAAGTATGGCCACTCTCTCACTTTCTGAGCGAGATGCGAATGTAAAAAGGGTAGTCAATATCTTGCATTTCTTGAAGTACGCGCAGATAACAAGCATCCAGAACAAACCGCAACTTAATCAAGGAATATGGGCTCAGCTACGTTGCCAGAGATCGCCACACTGGCTTCCGGGCGACAAGCAAATTTTTCTAAATATCTAGAAACGCGCGACGCAACAAGCGGCGGCGACGAATGGGCCTCCGCGACAGCAAATCTTGTCACTCGTTGCTGCTGCTTGTCGCTGTCGTGATGAAATCGCGTGCAGCGGTTAGGGCTTTAGAAGCACCTTTGGTGATGCAGCAATTACAAACTGGTCAGCAAAAATATCCGTTTGATATTTTTACAAAGTGACAATTCTACGTGCTGTAACAATATGTATGGAAGCGAAAAACAAGCTGCGTCCTTATGAAATGTGATGTGCGTACCTTCCCTCTTTCCTTTTCTGGTCATCTATGCATTGTTTAGCTAATATTATTCGTGCTTATTTCATTGTATGTTGCATTATTACTCAAAACTACAACATACGTTTTATAACGACGCAGCGTAGTAGTGTTTTGGTGAAAGAGCAACTACTCCTGTCGGCTAGGAGTAAAGAAGACAAGCCGAATGCCGCACGAACGTTATGCGTGCGTCATGCGTGTTTTTAGTTGATAACAGTAATGCACTGCCAGTTGCTGGGAACGCATCGTAACTATGTACTGGATAGTGTGCCGTAACCGCGAAGTACAATTTTATCAGACTGGTTCATATTAACGATGTTTTTCTTTTGTAGGCAGATGACAATGACGGTTGACGAAGTAATCTTTTGCAAATTCAACACCTGAACGCATAATATTCTCAAGTAATTACCCTTTTGAACTTTCGGCTGAGCTTCAACGTTCTGTAAAATGCAAATAACCATTATTGTAAAAGAAACGCCACGCAACAGGCAAATGTTCAATTCGAATGTGAAATTTTGAATATTAGCAAACTTTTATAAAAATGAAGATTATGTAGCTCACTACAGATAGCCTGAATATGTAAACAAATTCACTAGTTTGTAAATAATCTCTTGCACACTCATAAAGTTGACGCGTGCTCCTAATTAGACCTGAATAACTAGCTGGTTTCCTCCCCATGGGTTGCTTAAAGAAATGTAAATTTCGTTCAATGTGCATTGGCCACAGCTAGCAGGCTTTCAAAGGAAGCGTCAGGAGACAATAAAGTTGAGAGCTGGGCTAGTTAGTGACTGACCTATATACCGTAAGGGTAAGTAGCGCACTTTTTAACATGAGAAACAGGGATAAGAAAGACACGCTAGAAAACAGGAAGAAGCGGAGTGTGAGAGACCTGTCCGTTGTGGTGCACCATCTGTTGGCTGTAAATGAATATTAATTAAAAAAAAGAGCTTACGAGATGGCAAACACAACATGAACGCAGCGTGGTGACTTACACCTTGTACGAGGAAAGCGAAGCTGAAGTAGTCAAGGAAACTATTTATGGGAATGATTCATGCCACCACTTTGTGATTTTATATGAGTAGTCTGACTCAACTCGTTCGACCCAAACGAGAAATTCTGTCAACATTACTCATGAGAAGCATCGGTGAAGCAGTTGTTCTTACTATTCAATGCTAGTATTCCACACCTTTGCTTGTATAACGTTAATTGTGAGACGTAATGGCGAATGCAAATCACTGTCTTAATGATTAAATACAGCTGTAGCAAGTTGTTCCTGAATAAGAGAGTAACTGGAAGTAAGCAGAGGTGAATAGTGTTCCATTAAACTTACCATTACAATTACTGTGCCCATGCGAGCAACGCACTCAATTGTCATGCCGCTAATCGCAAGGCAAGGTTAGTGCAGCAAAAACAAATCGCATGGGCGAGCCGGCTGCTGGTAACACAAAACGACTTGCAGGAAAACAGCGACCTACTCACGTATTTGGATGTTCACACGAAACGTTCCACAAAGGGCGACGTTGGAACCATGACACTTTTGTAGGTATAGGTTGTTAGTGCCTGAACGGCAAGTGTTCAAGGCGAACCGAAAGCGACGCGAGGCGAGCCACGTGTGGTGGTACCTATGCGAAAACAGCGCCAACGACGTTGCCGTGGGCGAGGCGGAAATATGAGGAAGGGTCTAGAACGCGTGAACGAGTACGCGCATAGCGCGACCTTCGGGAGTTGCCGTGACGTCGGACCAACAATAAGCAAAGAGCTGCCACACTCAAAACGCGACGACAACCAAGGACAGCCTTATCGACGCTGTCGCGTGTTTCTACGGTGCCGCGATTTGCAATGGATACCTGCTCTTCGTGACCTAAGCGATTCCCAATTTTTTCTCATATGACAAAGCCGTTTGATGGTATTTCGATGGAAGCCGATTCGAGAGATACAGTCAGTTGAGATGGAACATAGAGGTGTAGTTATTAGTCAGCACGTATAGTACAAGAGTCGGTTGTTATACTTTCGAGGGTAGTGTGGTGCATATATCCAACAACTTGTTAGAGGTAGCATCCAAGGTCCTGGGAGTGCGACCTATTGGTGTGTGTGTCACTGCGTGTGCCTGTGTGTGTGTGTGTGTGTGCGTGTGTGCGTGTGTGTGTGCGTGTGTGTATGTGTGCACGTGTGTGTGTGTGTGTGCGTGTGTGTGTGCGTGCGTGTGTGTGTGTGTGCGTGTGTGTGTGCGTGCGTGTGTGTGTGCGTGTGCGTGTGTGTGTGTGTGGAGTACTATATAAAATTGAAAAACATTATTTTGAAAACGGACAGGAAAATCCATCTATGAGGTAGCCACGGCTACACCTGGGAATACTTGGCAACCGTTAGAGTTCGGGATGGTGATTTAGGCAGTCACAACATGTCATGCCATTTTTCATTCATTGCGGTTCGTCTTCTGCTGTCTAATACTCATAGAGCGTCCTAGCTTTGGGAATGTTCTCGAATGAATTTTACGTTATTGTGCTACGCACTATAAGAAAGTGTCTACTATTTTTTTCCAACAATCAACCTAATTTGTCAATACACACCAGTAATACCGTTTAAAACTACACATTCTTTCTCTTATAAATATGATACTTTCACGGTCAGTCGTGAAAGGTGCGTCTGTCCAGAAGAGAGTTGACGCGAATCTTAAAGAAAGATATATATGTGGCTAATCGTGACCACCAAAATGAGTAACAATTACTCCCATCTCATTAGTTAGATTCGTGAAAGGTGCGTCTGTCCGGAAGAGAGTTGACGCGAATCTTAAAAGAGAGATTTATATGTGGCTAATCGTGACCACCAAAATGAGTAACAATTACTCCCATCTCATTAGTTAGATTATAGGGTAGAGTTCTTTGCAGGAATATTTAAGGAACATTTTAAATTGGCGAGCGAATGTTTTTCACTGTAAGTACACCCACTCCACGCCCTCTATATTGCTGCCCGTGATAAATATGAATGCTGCCGTACGCAACTCGTCATCTTTTGCATGGAAGAGCCCTTGTTCTCTACAAGCGTAACCTCTCGTGATCTCTCCTGATGATTGGTCTCATCAGTGTAGGTATACACGTCCACCCCAAATATCCTGATTTTTATTTACTTTTTAGTCTGCTTACGTGCTATGCTTGGCATAGAGTATGCATTTGCCCCGCCGCTGTGGTCCAGTGGCTCAGGTACTCGGCTGTTGACCCGCAAGTCGCGGGATCAAATCCCGGCTGCGGCGGTTGCGTTTCCGGTGGAGGAGAAAATGTTGTAGGCCCGTGTGCTCTGATTTGGGTGCACGCTAAAAAACCCCACGTGGTCAAAATTTCCAGAGCACTCCACTACAGCGTATCTCATAATGATATGGTGATTTTGGGACGTTAAACCACACATATCAATCAGTCAATCAGTCGAGTAAGCATTTCCGTTTCTTCGCCCTGCATCGCTTTCCTCTTCCCTAACTAGGGCTGCTTTTATCAAGCGGCTCTTATCTAGCAACAAGCGGTGGGCAAATAGCTATTTGCCCCGTAGCGCTTGTGACCGGCCTACTTCTGCTTCATTTTCTCAGGCTGCTTCCTCGAGCCACTACAGCTACTTTTCCATCTCGAAGTGGCCATCCCGGAGAGTAAGTTGGTACCGACATACATTAATTATTATAGATGAGAACCATTGCCACTTTCACGAAACAATAGAGGTACCAGTGATAAGGTTATTCGTGAGGGGTGCGTGGCACATGGATTACATTGCCATAGAAAGTACGATAGAAAAATGCAGTGGTATCCACGGTAAATTGGTACAGCAAGGGATGATGGGGCAATATTTGGCTATTTGACAGTGTCTTGTGAGCTTGAGAATTTACGTTTATGTATACACCAACTTACTATACAATACTGTTATGTTCATCACAATTCGCGTCGCTAGTGCAGTTTTTGCTAAAAAAAAATGACTATAGCACTACAGCATCTAATGCGATTATTCATTTTCACTCCATTTTGGCTATGCAAAAGTTCTGTTGCAAAAGGGGAAACTAGATAAGAAAAAAACGGGCTTATTACATTGAGAAGCTTGACACGAGTGCGGTGGAATATATATCAAATAGATGAAGGGTTCGAGACAGATGCAAGTTGATTTCTCAAAGAAAGAAAGCAGACAGGGTGACTTAACAATCTTCTCTAAACATAGGCCTTTTATAGAAAAATAAGAAC